GTGCACTATTTTTAATGATAGGAAATGCGGTTTTCTAAGGTACATAAAATTTTGGTATTGACTATATAGCCAATACATCCTTAACACGTTTATTACGTTGAAAAAATTAATATTGAATCCTGTAACTCTGAAATGGTCAAGCTCGCTCCATCTGCAACTCCAATCTTGAAGCTACGACGCCTTGCGACTAGATTGACCGTGGCGGTACAGGTTCCTACATACGATGGGAACATCACAATCTGAAGACATATAAGTAATTGGCCTGGGATACGAACGGGACGGGACAATACAACGATAACGAAAAAGCATTATATTTTCAACGGACGGCGCAATACTAATGCATTTCACGTGGAATTGCCTTTCGCCGGATACCTATCTCGCGTAGGGGGTCATGTTCGTTTCTGCCCGCTTTGCTTTCTGCGGTGCAATCGCTCCGGCCAAAGCTCGTTGGAACTGCGCCACGCCGCTTCGTTTACCAACCGAATGCAGTAATATGTAATACATTATGGTTACCAAGTAAAAAAAAAGTTCGATCCTCGGTAGAACCAAGCCGGCGCGTATTCGAATCTCGAACATGTGCGTCCGTATCGCGGTATTTCATGATACGCTAACGCGCGTACTTCCTGTTTCCGAAAAACAGCTCGAAACATGAAGTAAAAACGATGATACTATAGACAGGCATGATATACACGTAGAATATCGTTGAGGAAACCGAAAATGCAACATCGTTTAATGGTGTGAGTGAAACGAACGAGGAGCAAAGAGGTTGAAAAAAGTTTATGCTGAATTCGCCAAATTAGTACGAATTGAACTTTCTACCTGTACAGCATATCGAATTAACGAAGCATCCGAGCCGAATCGATGGGATAATAGAAACGCTAGTTTCTTTTGTACATCTCTTTATTGGCGATCGGACGGTGCGGCGGCGGAGCGAGCACGCGTGAAAGAACGCGTAGTCGATAAAACGCGATAATTAAAATTTAATTCAGCCGGGCGATCGCGCGCCATCAAACGCGACGCCAGCCAGACGTAATTGAGGCATTACTTTTCGATTAAACGCAAGGTTGTAGGAAGGAACGCCGACAGGTAAACGGGTCGGGGGTCGACGGTTCACGAGAAGAGGACGAACAGGGAAGAGAGTGAGAGATGAAGGATCGAACAGCAGAGTGTCGGAAGGATGGTGGCTGTCGTCGTCGGGAAACGATGGTGGCCATGTGATGGGATTTAAATTAGCGGCGTGGCCCTATGCGACAGATGTCGCCGACTTCCATTAAATGTCGCTCGCTCCACGACTACTACGATCCCGAAAGGAGAAACTGCAAGCACTGAAGGGTGGCAAGGTGGCCGAGACACCCCGGGCGAGCGACAGAAATCGAGGAAGACGGAGCGAGAGCCTCGCGAATGAAGGAAATTAGTAGTACTCGATAAGAAGCCCTTTACCGGAGGCTAATCCGTCGCGCCCGCCTTCTATCCGACGCTCAATGAAAACGACATCAAGAATTAATGATACAGGTGTCGCGCAGCAGATCGAAACCAGCAAGGAACTTTTCGTTAGACGGAATTAATAAAACATCTACCTGCAATAAACTGGATTTAAGACTTTAAATAAGCAGCGAAAAGCTTCATTTTGCATTTAGTGAATGTAAAAAAAATGGAACTGTTTCATATAGAGAATTCCGAAATTACGCTCGTTTAGTTAGAACGCTAACTCACCTTCTCTATGTCAAATATCGTCAAATGGAATATTGTGTGAAAAATTGCAATTTCGTTTTTGCCACGCGAACATTCTCGTTGCTGCAATATCAATAAATTTGGGAAAAACGTATCTACGAGGAATCGCGGGACACACGAGAGTAGTCAGCGGATACACGTGCAATTGACAAATTCATTTCGCAGCCGTTTCCACCGTCAACTCGTTTGAACCATTAAAATTAGCCGGTTGACTTGGCGCGTTCAAAAGCGACCAGCGTGCCAATGGTCGAACAAGACGGTGGTTATAATGTTAAAACGCGTTTGCGTTTTGTGACAGGCCACTGGCCACGACTCTTCCAGAGCGCCTGTTATTAATGTCTCGCCGAATATTCCAGCTCCATGACGGATCAATGACTTCTCTACTGTTTTATTCTTCCTGCCACTTGTGAAATTCACAAAATATTTTTCTCTCAAAAATAAAAATAATGTACAACGATTCGTTATTTAATCATAAGTGAGTAAATTATAACAAAATAAAATATGATCAGAATAAAATTAAAAATGATCACGGCCCAATTTTAAACTGACATACTATTGTATTATTTGCCACCTGAACCTCCTCAGTAAAGAATAAAAAAATTAATACACGTACGTAGTTCTGAGTAATACATAATAATTTTTCGAAACACATACCCAGTATAGAAAGAACCAAGTCGTAACGTCTTTATTGCCTTTCTTTTCTCATTCATGAAGACGTCACAACCTGTGATTCTCTTTCCCTTTTCTGAATATCTTTATAGGAACATAGAATCCTTGTACGAACATCGACAGTATTCAATGCTAATGTAAAGAATGATTTTTACAAGGCACAGACCGTTATATAATCCCAAGTAATAAGAAGTCTGGTGCAATCGACTGAAGTTATTTTCAAAATTCTCTTGTTATCGTCGAATCTGCATAGAACCAATAAGCCGAAAACTGATCCACCTCTGGATTTTCATCCGTCCGATTAAAAATCAAGGAGTTTTTCTTCGGATCCTCTCTCCTAAGTGCCTCTGCGTTTCCGTTCTTCCCGGGTTATTATTTTCCCACCCTTCGGAACCAGTTCTCGGTATTTGTTGTTCAACATCGAAACAGGTCGCGTAATGAAATATACACGAAACACCCGCGTCGAACGTAGCACAGCACGTCGGCAGTGATTCATAACGCGATCCTACCCCTGGGTAGAAAATATTGCGATTCCTCGCCACCGCCCTATCAAAGCAGCGGGCGCGGACGCGGCGCTCGCCTCTTTTCCAATTCCACCCTCTCCCCGTACCCTCGTCGCACAGTCTCCGTCGCTGTTCTTCTTTTCCCTTAGCCCCCCTCGCAGCCAGCCGAATTGGATCCGAACTCCGTGTTTACGTGGTTTTTGCAATCGCCCGCGTCTCGGGCGGTTTTTCGCATTCCCTGGAACAAAGTGAATTCGAGTTTCTTCGCCGCGCTGAGTGCACCACTTTTTCCATCCCTAAGCGCCACACCCTGCCCGAAATTCTGCGAGATCTATGCAGGCGGTGAACAAGCCTCGATTCACATCGAATTGTTCAATGTTTTAGTAGAACTACCGAATCGGTCAATACCGTCGGAACGGGCTGTAACTCGCGTGAAATTCTGAATCCTAACGATAGAGCGAAAATTAGATAGCGCTAAATAACTGGGATGATTTTTTCAGGGAAACGACGCAGGACATAATACGAAGGGAGAGGCTCGCTCCGAGACTGAGACGCGTCGTAAATCAGCGTGAACACAATTTCACGGGAGGCTGCGACGGCGACGTGGTCCGTCGCACGCTCGATCGACCGTTGTCTAATTAATGGAGACGTCGTTTCCGTCGGCCACGGAAGAATGTTTGTCCGTCCAGACTGTTCTATACCGCAACTTACTTCTATCTGGATGTTCATAGTACCGAGATATCGAGGGACTTGTGAATCACTGAGTCGATTTAATCGGGTGGGTTCTGGTCGTCGTCGTTTTGACACTGACACTCCAAGAAAGATTATTGTTTTATATTCAGACTGACAAAGATTTGAAGTAACAGGGATGGTAGTATCGAACAATAAAATGCGATATTTCTATTTCTATATACTTATATCATGAGCAACGATTACTAATTAGAGAATCAGCGGACATCTCCCACCTATTAAAGCATTAATTATAAGCTTCACTAATGAACAAGCAAGGATAATAAAAAATGCCAACGATATAAGACCGGTCATCGTGAAAAAGAATCGTCTAAAATATTGGAGCAAAAAAAACTGAAATCCACGGGGGTAACGAACTTCTTATCACCGTTAAATCGCACAGGATTACGGGTGCCGGCTAATTATCCTTACACGAAAGATTCTCATAAATCAGCTCGGGTGGTTCGCGTCACGAATACGACATGCACGTGACACCTTCGCTCGTCGACAAACAAGAAACTTGCTGCGGTAGCACTTGACCCTCGTAACCTCCGATACAAACTCAACGGTATATGTATACTGCAACGTAACCCCGGGGTAGACTGTCAGGGATCGATCGAATATAGGAGACATCTGGTATGTGTGTTAAAGAGTAGAAATGATCAGATATGAGAAGCTGATATCGGAGATCGTGGAAACCTCTCGAGTCGTGAATCCGGTCCGTGGGGTGCCGAGGAGAACAGAAGAAGAAGATGACCGACACGAGATGGTAGAAGGAAATAAGATAGACAAAGATAAAGAATGGTGCAGAGATGTAAGAGGAAAAAGAAGATAGAAATGGAAAGAAGGTAAAAAGAGCAGCGGAGAATCCAGAATGCTGACTGTTGAGATCCTGCAGTGCTTTCTTCATGCGCACTTGGAGTCAATCAAATAAAACTGAAGCAAAAAATGAAAACGAAATGGGAGGGACGAGAAAATTGGAGATTAGGACAACGGTTCACGGTTCTTCTGGAAAAATCTATCAAGACTGTGCTTGATTCCTGAACTCATCGCCAGTCATTCAATCAATTTCGACCGCGTTTGTTAGACTCGCGTCGCGAATAGTGACTACATGTCAGATTTTACTTGAATACCAGTGTACCTTGAGTATCTCGAACGATCTGTCTATTGTAAGTCATCGAGGATGATAAATAATTTTTAAATAAATTAAGCCTCTTATTATTATGATGAATTATTTGTATTGTTCAAGAACAAATAATTATTCAAAGCTAAATGATATGCGTAAAAATTAATAATTTCTGTAATGAATACTGTTACAATTTATTTGACAAAATCCAAGAAATATCATTTTCGAGAACTTGCTTGTTCTGTCAAATGCTAGTTTTCTGCATTTACTGCGAACGATAACATCAGCAATCTGTTTCTTCGTAATCTCACGTTGATAAGAATAAAACATATATTGTTATTAACCCTTTCGCTACGGCAGTCCGTTCCGCGGGATCACTCTATATTTTTTTTTTTTTTAGATACTTTATATTATAATCCTTGTTTTCTATTATAGTTTTGTGCCTTACAAATACTTTACCATCCAATAGAAAAAAATTGAAGATTCTTATTTCGTATGTAAAATATGCAGGATTTAGTTCAGTACGAGCTATTAGATTCAAAAGATATTCGGACGCCGATTATAGTCGGCACCCGTACACACAGCACGTCGCGCGGCCGCCGACTATAGTCGGTGTCCGTAGCGAAAGGGTTAAAAGTATATTCAAATCGTATACGTGTAGTACATCTAGTTTCAAAATTTGTAGGTACCCCTGGAATAACTTTTCAATAATTGAAACTATTGTACTATAACTTAAACAAGGAAATGTTGTTCAGTGAACAGAAGATAAAGAGAGTAAATAAGTTCTCTTGAAATTCCCGACGTCCTTACAAATTTGGACACTTTCACTTCGCCCACGATTAAAAAGTGAATTCGGGACTTTCTCTTTAAACTACTCGTCATGTATCAATGTCGCTGTTTGTATGCAAATATTACGAGAATGCACATTCACTTGTAAGAACAGTCAGACAAAAGTAAAATTTTATCATTTCACTTGAGGTCAAAGATTTGTAGTGAAGAGCATAATCTGCTGGCAATCTTATTTAGTATGCACACGACTGCAACGTGTAGTCCCTGGCCTCGCAATGCGAACCAATGTGAGCCACTTAATTATCGTCTCGTTTGACCGCGTTGATATCCATTTCTAATTAGATGCAACGGAACCAAGTATTTGCTATTACACAAGACTGTATACGTATGTAAATGAAATTTTATTTCACAGAAGAAAATGTATAAAATACATACACATAGACTCTTCTCTCCTTTTTGAAGATCCTAGCAAATCGATATACCATCAATCTTCCACGCATTTTCCACGCTTTCTGCCGCTGTCCTAATTTGCCCTACGATTATTCTTTATCGCAGTTTCTTCTTTTTTCACTGTCAATATTAGAACTGACGAACACCTATGCAAAGAGAAACATCAAACGAAAAAAAAGAAAGTGATCGGTCATCCCAACTTTTGTTTGACTTTCAATTAGTCTTTGGTACTGATAAACGAAGAAGGTATTCCAGTGATTTCTATACGAGTCATGGTGCCAAATTTTCACTCACTGTAGTTTCTAAAGGCATTCTGGTGCACTTTCGCGACTTTCCATGAGACATATAGATACACAGATATGTCTGTCTCCAGTCGTGGAAGCTCAGGCGAACGACAGGCGACAGCGTATACAATTTTCGCAGAACAAAAAATAAAATTTTGTTATTTCCAGTATTTCGTCCTTTTAAATTTGTTGTTTATTTAAAATTATTCAAGGACTTTTTTTTTAAAAGTCACTTGTCACAAGGAAATTCCACTTTCCATTAGTCTGCTCACGTAATAGTAGATAATCATAATAATCTGGTAACACGTGTATCCTAATAAGATACAGCATCCTGGAGAAACAGGTTTCTTCGTCCATCCATCACCTCAAGTTCACTACCTGCTGTTTATTAGATTCGCCAAAAATTATCATACTCGTTACAAACCGGCATCATCCTCTCGCATCTAAATCAATCACATCCAGCACGTTCGATACCCTGTCCCGTATTGTCACCTATAATCAATTAGCATCCGCGAAACTGGTTTGCCATCCCTCTCTTCCGCGTGCCTAATTCTCTAACGAGCACCGACAGGTGTAAAAGGTGGGAGTACAACGACGAAGGACAAGCCGGCACTCGAGGAATAACCGAGCACACGATCAGTTCTACGATCGCTGTCACGGGAGAGCTCTCTTATCGCGACATGCTCGTTCCGACTTTCAGATCGCTGTTGATCCTCCTGTTCGCCGTGATTTCCTTCGGAGCCCACGGCGCAGCAAAAAGAGAACCGTTCGGCCCGATCCAGGAAGCCATTCAAAACGGTATTGCGGCTCAATACAACCGAGAAAATTGTGTTTGGAGACGAGGAAACGACAGGGACGCGTGTCCGGATCCCGACGTTCGAGTTTTCCTTTATACGAGCGAACAATCGAGACGGGAACTCGTGTCCAGAGAATCCGACTGGCTGCGGCAGGACTACGATCCAACCAAGGAAAGTGTTCTGCTCGTACATGGATACGCAGGTGCACTAATTTCTCCAAATTTACAATCGTTTCCAAATGACATTTAAATAAGAACTGTCACGATGCAGTTTATTATAGAAATGTATGGCCTCGAATCAAGTACAATTGATTTGTTTCACATTCCAGGAGGCGACGATACTCTTCCGATATCCGTGCTGCGTGACGCCTACCTCCGAAACGGTAGTTACAACGTGTTCCTAGTCGACTGGGGTGCCCTATGCGCTCCACCTTGTTATCCTGCGGCGGTGTCGAACCTTCGCCCGGTGGCTCGCTGCTTGGCAGGCACTCTGACTACCTTACGGAATTTGGGTCTGCCGATCGCAAGGACGACCTGTGTGGGTCACTCGTTGGGAGCTCACATCTGCGGGATCATGGCGAACTTTCTCTTGTTCAGAATGCACCGTATAATCGGTTTGGACCCGGCCAGGCCTCTGATGCGTCCCGGTTATGTGAATCGGTTGGACAGCGGCGACGCAGACTTCGTCCAAGTGATCCACACGAACGCTGGATATTACGGGGAGGGTGGTCGCATGGGTCACGTGGATTTCTGTGTAAACGGCGGCAAAGTGCAGCCGTTCTGCGAGGGCAAGTCGAATTATCAGCTGTGCAGCCACGTGTGGGTGGTGTGTTACATGGCGCAAAGCATCGACAACGGTGGCAAGGAACCGATGGCAGAACCTTGCTCGAGGAGGTGTCCTTCCGGTCCCAGAATCGCTCCCAGGGCTGGCGAGTACATCGCCATGGGACAGCACACACCGGCCGGAGTCAGGGGGTCCTACTGCTTCACCAGCAAACACCCACCGTATTGTCCCAAGTACGGAAATGGACGTGGCGACGAGAGATGCTGCATACCGGAAAACAAACCTGTCACGTTCTAGAAGACTCGAGAGTAAAGTATAAAAAAGGAGGAACATAAGACTGTGCATAACGCGTGAAGTGTATAATATGTATATCGTAGAGATCGAATAGAGAACTTTTTTTAAAAGATTGACTTCACTTTCCCAGTTCCATAAACAGAAAATTAATTTCTTTTAACAATCAAGAAGACAGCAAAGCTATTGCATTTGATAGCTGTTATTACTTCCAGTTTATTTTATAATTGTTTTCTATTTGCTACAGAAATGACAATTTTGACTGACGCTTTTCCTCGTTATCAAAATTGACACTGTCTTAAAATCATGCGAACAAGGCACACATATTGTGTAATAATAGCAATAAAAATAATGTATAATCATACATGAGATGTCCCAGAGTATCATCAATATTAACAAACCATGTTCGATCAATTCGATCATTGCCCATTCTATACATCGTTTAAAGAAGCTATGATATTATTCGCAAAGTTGGCAGTTTCAGAAATGATACCTTTAATCATTAGACATGTGACATTGGCATTACACAATGTGTGTCGTAATAATCGAAACGCTCCGTATTCATCCAAGTTGAAAGTGGTTAAACCACTTTCGTCGGCGAGATTGTAACACGATGTTTACTTAAACGAATCAACGTGAACAGAAGGATGAATGCGAACGGTATTTAGATCGAAGAAACAGTTCTTTGTTACCTAATCGATAAAGGTGAACGGTATCGTGACATGTGTAAACGGTATTTAGATCAGGCGGGCGTAATTGATGAGGCATACACAGGTGGCGGAGAACAAGTGGATCTCCGTACGGTACCGTGACGCGTGCAGTACGATTCCGATTCCGGAACGCGATTCCGTATTCAAACGCTGTACTCGGTGTCCGGAAAAATCTCGCGTTCGTGATCTACCGACCGATCAATCCCGTTAACCGTTCCACTGAACCTCCATAAATATATTCACATGTCCAGCGAGCGAACAATTGCCACGTTTCTTTCCATTCGATTCTTGCGAACATTCTGGTGTAATCGAGTTTCGCAATGATTCGCGCTCATATCCAGATGATAAACGATTCCGCGAGACTTGCGTTGAGACTTTTAAAGTAATTGGCGCTGTATGTTATAATGTTATTGAATAAATTACAATATTAAATGTTTTCACTCCCTTAAGAAAATATACCCATAAGAATGAATGCAGATATTTACTTGGACGTACATATGTATCTTGCAGATTTTTACGCACAATAGTCACTTTAAAAAGTGAAATCGAGATCATGATTTTTCAAAAGACTAACAATGGAGACTTGTGCTCTACCCATCTTCCATCCCGAAATCCATCCGGACGCGAGACATAGGCTAAACAAACAGTAGTTGGTTTTGTAAGTGGGTGATTGCATTATTTTCGATTACGTACTATAGCAGACACGAGTACTTAAGTAGGTACTTCAAAGTATTGTAAGAGACGAGTTTCGCTAGATAACTCAAAGAGCCGTCTGTTTCTGAATCCTTGAGCTTCCGTCCGGCTTCTGGTCTTCATTTATACCACTGCGATGCTGAAGTGCATCGAGATTCTCACGATTCGGCTGATTCACAAGTGCAGTTGAACGTACAATAACAATACGAGAGCAATTTCGCTGGGGAAACTCAAAAGGAAAGTACTATAAGACGACGTATCGTTGCACGGAAGTCGGTCGGTGAATCCCAGACGTCGTCAAGTAGACGCCGCACTGATGCAAAAGTGTTTCGGGAGACATCGATACTAGAGTCCGACGGGATCCTTGAAAAGGCGACACGTAGACGCGACACGATCCTCGTATAACGAGAGAACTCGTATCTCCGTGTCTACAGATGCTCCCTCTTGAAAGCAGCGGTTTTCGAAATTTGCCTAATCACCAGCTATCAAAACGCCCTACCCGAGACGAGCATTCTTGCTTGGTGGAACACCTCGAATAATCACAAGGCCATCCCGTTCATCGATTTTGTATTATGGCTAATCAATTTTAATAACCATTGATCTCGCTTCTGTTTTTTTTATACTTGAAAGATTATTGAATTTTTTTCTAAAACCTGCCAGAATTGTGGTGGGGAATGAAGTAGAAGGGGTAATAAGAATTATCTTACTTTTTGTATAAAAAATGTTTATTACAACGATAACGCACGGTAGGAAAATTGTGAATCTTAAGTAATATTAATGATAAAAATATTTTGGTATTTCAAGGAACGTAGTATACATTATATAAAGATACAAAATATATGCACGAACAGACGCGTAGCTGTGTGATGTAGCATAATACATATAATACTGGTAGACTCCATATACTTGTAATATGTCAAGGAACCACGTGTCCTTAATAATAATTTGATTCTTTCAATTCTGGCGTTCTCACACTTGTTCATCGCATAAGGCACTAGATTACAAATATTTACAATTTCAGTTTGTTTAGGCACTTATTTCTAACTGAATTATTCTTTTAATTATTGCCATTCGGTTAGTTCCTCTGATAATCGTTCATAATATCTTTGATATCTCTCTATCAACAACAGGAACAAGAATATAGACGAAGATTTAAAATATATCTAAGAAAGACATCTTTTCCTTTTCCCAATAATTTTCACACTTACCCGAAGTGCAAATCGTATTAGACACTTCACGTATAAAATTCCGAAGACTCGGATCTGCTCATTAATCTGTATAAAAATGATATATCTATCCAAATTAAATTGTAATACGTAGCTTGAAATAAAAAGTCCTCAGTCTAAATTCAATAATCTTTGGTACGTCGTCTCGTAATGGGATTCAAAATCTCATTATACTAACATTCAATAAATTCATTCTAGCCTTATAATTTCATCTTACAAAAATTCCGTAAACATTCCTAATGAAATTTTGCAAATTGTGTCGCGGATTGATACGGTATCTTCATGAAATCTGGCTGCGTCGTGATAGACGGAAACAGTCGATAGTAATACGCAGGCAGGTTCAAATAGCCGAATCTTGGCGTGAAACTCGACGACGGCGTGGCCACTGTGGACGACGAATGCTGTTTAGCCGAATCAATCCACGGCCTGTGCAATTTAGGCTGTACATCGACGGGATCCCTCAGTTGTGAATTTTGGTGAACGATTGAAGGGAGAGGTGGACTGATTCCTCCGCAACTGCTGACACCGCTGTCATCCAAACTCCCGGTCTCACTGGAAGCTGTCTTAGGCCTCTGATTGGCAACGTCCAGATGACTCGATGGCCTGTTGGACTCGGTTTCCGACGACGCGGTCTCCTCATCGTCGTCCTCGATCTGAACCACGACTACACCCCTTTGCGTCGTCATTGTTTGGAACTTCCTTTTGCATCGGGATTGACCCGTTTCCCTGAATCCCTTCGCGAACGGATTGTTATTAATCTTCAGCTTCGTTATGTTCTCGTTCTGAAAAATTATCGAGGAACATTGTATTATATATACATTATATAAACTTTTTTAATTGTATCAGTGATATCTTACGATGAATTTTCAAAATAAATATTTTACCTGATACGCAGTGACAGCAATGAATTCTGTTTCTCTGAACTTGAACGATGAAGCTGGATGGGAGTATAAATCGGTCAGCCTGGTAGCTTCGTCACAACGAATGATCCAAATCCGTGGAACGTACTTGTGCATCGACGTCAAGACCACCTGTGAATAAAAATTCGCGAATTACTAAATTGTCTTCAAACTACTTAAGAATTGAAAGTATTTCAGTCATGTTTCTGCCTATCATAATTTAAGGGAGAAATATTATGGGTGACACGTATTAAATAGCAAAGAAATTGCATAGACGCCAATAGAGATTCTCAATCCTTCTACGTATAGAGAAGAAGAAGAAGAAACTTCCTTCATTCATTTGGACTGAGGGCACGGAAGATTTTATTAAATTCGTAATTAGTTTGAAGAATCGGCTAAAAGGACGCCGCTTCGTCAAGATAAGTTGGCGCCTCGCTGAGGATGCCGACGACGGTAGGGACAGACGCGATTCTCGAAAACCAGACTGGCCCTTCAACCTTCCCGGAATCACACATTCTCGACCCATTCAAAATACTCCGTAAATCGAACAGTGAAACTTCGATTATCTTCGAGCTCTGTATTATCAGTGACAGCCATGGCTTCAGCTTTTTGAGTTTCGATCAGTATATTCGAGCTTAACCTTGGAGAAGTGAAGTTATCGAAGCAAGTAGATAAGCGAATATAAAATAATGTCAAAAGCTTTAAGAGTCAAAGGCCTTCAAAAGAAAATATTAATTCCTTATTGAAGTATAAAAAATTGTAATCAAAGTATCGCATTAATGAGATGTATAGGTGCTCGACGAGAAGATTCACAAAGGTTGAAGAAAATCCGCATGCAACAGGATAGGTCTACTCGTTTTAATGACCGTCACCTCAGGTACTCAGGATGCAGATCCGCAGAAGTAATTTCCGGTATTTATATTGGTGAAAATTTGAAAGAACTGGCAAGGGGCGCCGCGCTGAAGCCAGCTGCCAAGACTTTATCCCGGCGAGGCGTAAACAAACGAAGGAAAAGGAAGGTATATCGATTACAGGGTGTCGTGGAGCGTGTTAATCTCCGTTCTTCACGGACAACGGCTGAAACCGGCGTACCCTCCCGTTGGCACCGTTTTGAGTAGCTTAAATCTCCGAAAGGTACACGCGGTGGCGTCTTCCCCTTTTCCCCTCCGGGACTTTAATCCCGGACTCGAGCTCCTGTGCAGCAAGAACCGAATTTTGCCCTCTTAAGGTGCTCGCTACTATTTATTTGACCTAACTTTAACTCATTAAGGCAAGAATGCATTTGGTTTAATTGTCAGAAAGAATGCGTAATAGTCATACATAAAGATAATACAGTATAAAGTCGAGATATTTGTGGTCCTTTTATAAAGACAGCTTGCCATCACTTAAAAAAAATTACGTGTGAGAAGAAAATTGGCAACTAATTGACCAAAGACAACGCATTGGTCGGAATCCACTAACTGGAGGTTCCTTTTTTTTTAACTAATACCCTAATCGGAAGTGAAACGAATAGCTAAGAGGGTGGATCCGTGTGTGGCGACCTCCCGCATACGGATCTGGCAAGAAGGAGGAACGTAAGTCGAAACCAGAGACGCTCAAAGAAAGAAGAAGAAAAAGAAGCATTTAAGGACACGCCGTCCTGTCCAAACATGGGATATCTAGATAAATGGAACGCGGCTACCCTCTTCCGGACTTCCGTCAGGTCTTCAGGCACCCCTTTTAAATTGACGAAATGACTTCAGACATAATCGGGACGAACTGTTTCCCCATGATTCTCACATCTTTTAACCTAATGGAAACAGGACCGGTGGAAGTGAAAACGGCACTTACGTTATTCCTAGGATCGGCAGCGTTGTTGGTCAGCTTCAGTTTGTTGAAGTTAAGCGGATGTTGCATCCAATGAGCACCGGTCGCCGGACTGTCCGGGTGCAGGTAAATTCTACGATCGATTCTTGGCTGAGGTTCCGCCGGTCCAGCCGATGTCCAACCACGTGCATTCCCACAGCCTTTATTCAAACCGCCACCGACATACTTATGCCGACGATCTGACGCCGGCTCCACTTCGAGGAGCACGCAATAACGAGCACGACGCTCTAATCCCGTGACAGACAGTTGGATCGACGGAAACATTCGCCTGGAAGAAAATCACAGAACTTCAATTATTTTCATTAACTCCACAGCATCAATAGAAATTGTATAGAATTAATATAAGTAGAAGTACTTTCAATATATTATCAAACACTTCACGTTACACCACCTAAAGAGCGTATTAGAGTATTAATTTTAGTGATTTCAAATTTTTCATAGGTAATAGTATCACCTACAACTT